GTATTGCAAATAATTTGCAATACAAATTTGCAATGCAATGATGCTAGACCATTTGCACCGGATCGCGAATAGCCCTAATATATTTTTGAAGGTAATTAGAAAATATGTAAAGTATCGACTTTCTCCTGGAAATTTAATTTATAATCTTATAACTAAAGTCTACTATCGCGCCCTGTTCTCAAATGTATAATTATTAAAATTCTTTAACAATTCTTTGTGTGTTTTTTTGGTGTATAATATGTACATAAATGTCAAGTAGATAAGCAAGACAAAAGAAAAATTATTAAACACATTTTATGAAACTATGCCAAAAAATCATTGGAGTATTTCAGATCAAATGGGTTTGCTTCTTTCATAAAGCCCAGTTTAATTTGGATATGAATACACATATTTATTATTCGATATACTGTACCTTTCGCAGTTTTTTGGAAACTGCTTCTTTTATTAGCAATTATGTCCGCCGAGTCAATTTTATGTTTTCCTGAAGTGCAACAATTGCAACACATTATCTGTTGAAAGTAGAGTCGAAATCTAAGAAGAAAATATTAAATATTTATAACGGAATTATGTATAAACTGAACTCGAATCAAGAATTTTTTTCTGAATATGTATGCATGTGTTAAATATAATTCGTGTACGCTGATTTCAGTGGACAAGTCGTTTTTCTGGTTTGGCTCTAGTTTTCGAGTTATTAGCGTTTGAAAATTCCACTAAAAAACTAAAATACACTTATTTTTTGTATGTATTTAAACCTTTTATTCAACATTTAGCTACATAAGAGTTCAACACAAGCAGTGGCGGATACACTTCCCTCCAAAAAATTTGCGCCTTATATAAAGCTTATTTTTTATGATCACACACCTATCCTCAATCAAAAAGAAGTCAAACGAAAATGCCTAATGAAATGGTTTACCGCATCTTATTCCAGCTATTTCATAGTTTAAAAATCCGTTGCGAAGGAAATCCTACCTGATAGTTTAGCAGTTTTTTCAACAATTACTTTTTTCGATCTTAAAATATTT